TTATTTTTTATATTTAAATACATTTCGCTCTATATTTTAGTACGACATAACCTTATATTCAATTTTTTTTTTGTTTTGAAAAAATTAAAAGTCGCAAGCGCCCGTTTATAGCGTACCACGTTGTATGTTGTCATTCATATCATTCGAACAGCAAAAAAACAACAAAAAAATTAAGTATTTTCCCACTTGTGTACATATGGTCACACTTATAAGTCTTGCGCGCCTGCACCATTTTTTATTGTTGTCATTATTATCTACATTTATATGAGTGCTCTTGATAAGAAAAATGTAGCGGTTGTTTTTGTTGTTGCCTCCGCTTATTTTCTAGTTATTTATAGAGCGACCAGCTAGYGTCTAACCTACGCAGCTGTTGATGCTAGATTGTGGTCAGCTTTGTTGTTGTTGTTTGTGAATTATAGATTGTGGGTAGTATTTGTTGTTGCTGTTTGTTTGCGTATTAAGGTTATAATTGCGCTCAGATCATATCATTAATACAATTTGCATAATTAAAATTAATAATTAATTAAACTATGCAACAAAAACGTTTGCTATTCAATACATAAACATAAGCAATTTTATAAAAATTTCAATAGTTGATAAAAATTATTTAAATTTTAAAATTACAAATTTTTTCTTCGGAATCTATACTAAATTATTCATTGTTACTTTTGAGGTTAAATTATAAGGTTTCAATAAAAACTAAAATTTATTGAATATTATTTTCTAATGTAGTTATATAATTAAAAAAAAATAAATAAATTAGAAAAAACATTTTTTATTTAAATATATGCTTTTATGCTGATATATAAATTGTTTTTGGAAGAAATAAATACTTCAAGGATTAAACCTTTAATTATTATGAAAAAAAAAAGTTGCGAAAGGCTTTTTGATTAATTCGAAAGGCATAAATCTTTAAAAGAATATTTTTCAAAATGCATGCATTTTTATATAATTATTAAAATKTTAACACATTTATATTTTTATTGCCGCCCTAAAGTTATTTTTAATTTTTTTTATTTTTTTCCCATATGTTTGTCAAAAATAATTACTCCGGTATTCTTGGGTTTTTGATCTAGGGAATTTTTTTTATATTTTTTTGCGGCTCAAAATAGTCTCCAAAATACCACACTTTTTAAATATTTAGAAATTTCCACTCACCAAATGCGTTTTTCGACAACATTTTGCTTCACTATTGCGCTTTATACCCGACTCGGTATGAAAATCCTTTTGAAATTCACTTTTGTAGAAACGCACTTAATTTCGGAGCGTTGTCTTTTGCGCGCCTCAATTAATGCCAATTTATGCTGATTTTTTAAATGTCAATGTAGTCGCGGGTCCACTTTTAATTCAACTTATCTATTTGAATTAATATTTTTTTGAATSCACACATTTACATATGAACTTTCAAGTTACGACAAACAGTTCAATGGCACTGCAGCAAGAGTAGGAAACAAGCAACGCTAAGCAGCCGCTGCAATGGACAACTATTCGAGTGAATCGCTAGTGAACTGCTACGAGCCGTGACAACAACGCAACTAAAAGTTTCAATTTATTGAAAACAACTTGGAAGCCAAGCGCGCACACACACGCGCACACGTGAGCGGCTAGCGGCGTACGTCGCAACAAATGTCCAAACAGCCAGCCAATGTCTTTGGTGGCAGCGCCGCTGACTCGTGTGTTTTGATGCCAGGCGCTCCTGGAACKTGTGAAATCTAAGCGCTGCAATCAGAATCAACAATTGATAAAATATGTGTTTGCATGCCAACACACATACAAACTTACACGCATAGCAATACAGCTACATTTGCGCTAGAACTAGTGTGGCTGTGTGCGCGCTTTCAGGCGCATTTGCGTTTGGTACACGCTGCCAGCGCGTATTGCTCATATAGAAGCGCGTATGTATATCTGCRGCTATGTATGTATGTATATGTGCRCTTATATATGTATGTATATGTGTKTTWCTATGTGTAATCTATGCTTTAGCGCCTTCTTTGACGCCGCACCGCTTGCGGAAAACATTTCGAGCGGCGCCCCGTTCACTCCGGTTTTGGTATAGAATTGTGTTGTGGTCGCGTGTACACGCACTCGTGCCGCGAACAGGGTCTCAGTTTAAATTAGCGTAAATGTTTACTGGTAGAGCGGCTGGTGGGTGGTTCTCGCTATCATGATGCCTCAGCTTCAGTATTTTTTTGGACAATGGCGKAGAAAGTGCCTGGATATTTCCACTTCATTATTTCAGTTTCGGCTATGTCCTGTGGTTCAACATAGTTAAGACTACCCAGATGTTTCGATCTCGGTCTARCAAGTGCTGGACAATGCAGAATAAAGTACCTGGATGTCTCCATCTCAACCTCCTTCATACAACTTTCGTCCTTCAAGTTGRTTGCCTTGTACATATACTGATGCCTTCTGGACAATGCCCGGAAAGAACCGTTACAATTGCGACAAGATGAACTCTAAAGTGGTCCGAAAGTCTAAAGCTAGGAGTTTTGGAGAACTCTTGACAAAAAAACTTCTCCTCCAACCYTATCTCCTATCGCCAAACCATCCGTCAGAAATTCATTTCCAGCGACTCCTCCCCATTCACATATGCCTCTTCCGTGCGTGAGCATAGAAAAAGCTGTCATGAATAGCCTCTGTGACGCAGTGATCCAAATTTTCAGAAATACAGTTGAGGAAAGAGAGTATTTCGAAATGTCTTTTTCCGAACCCCTTCATATGCCCAGCTTCCCTGAGCCTCAGTGCGCACTTCGCAGCAATCAATCGATGCGATCTTATTCATAAACCATCTATAGTGAAATTATTTACCACACACCCTATATGCAAGCACGCATAGGTGTACACATCTATACAGTTGCTATTTGTGTCTTCAGATCAACTTTCAAGCGATCTATGTTTAGCTCATAACTACAATAATAACAATAAACAAACTTAATCCGCGCACAGAAATTCGTCGTAGTCACAATTGCGTTTGTTATTGCAGCTGCATCGGTGCCGGCTCCTTAGCGCACGCCTTCACACCTTAGCAACGCGCACACACACACACACACACAAACCTGTAAAGCTCATACAGAGGCGAATGCAAATGCGAAACCAGTTATTATAGTGCGTTAAGTGGAAAATCCAATTTTAGACACATTTTCTTCGTTCATTGTACGCATTTCGTAGACCTATGATTATATGCTTTGTATACTTGCGCTTGTGGGTACATATGTATACAAATATACATATATGTATGTAAGTAAGTAAGTTTATACAATATAATAGCATCTTGAAGAGCTTGTGCCAAAAAAAATTAATAAAATACTTAATTTGCAAGTTTCGAACTTTAATTTTTTTATATATAATATATTTCTTCATCTCTTTACTTTATTGTTTGTAAAGCCAGAAAATGAATAAGAAATTTTCTTAGAGTATAAAATAATAATT